GTGATGATGATGATGATGATGCCGATGATGACGATGATGATGGTGATGATGATGATGATGGTGGTGGTGATGGTAACGACGACGACGACGAGGAAGAGGAGGAAGGATGACTCCGGGAGGGATGAGGAGGAGGTATGCCGGCGGAGCATGGAGGACCAGGAGGAGGCGGTTGAACATGAGGAGGAGGATAATGATGATGATCATGATAATGATGTGGATGATGAAGACGATGTTGTTAATAATATTGATGTTGATGTTGATGATAATGTTGGTGTTGGTAACACTGGTGATGGTGATGGTAATGATGGTGATAGTGATGATATTGATACTGATGATGATGGTGGTGATGATGATCAAGATCATGATAATGATGATGATGCTGATGATGATGGCGATGCTGTATCTGATGCTGGCGCTGCTGATACTAGTGATGATGGTGAGGGAGACGATGATCAAGATCATGCTAATGCTGTTGATGGTGATGATGATGATGCTGATGCTGATGCTGACGGTGATGGTGGTGGTGGTGGTGGTGACGACGACGGCGACGACGAAGACGACGACGTCACCGAAGAATAGGAAGAGGAGGGAAGGAGGAGGAAAGGGAGGAAGAGGAAGAGGAGGAGGAGGAAGAATAGGCGGACGGAGAAGGGAGGAGACAGAGGAGGAGGAGGAAGGATGACATCCGCAGGGAGGAGGAGGAGGAGGAGGAGGAAGAGGAGGGATGAAGGCGGAGTAGGGAGGAGGAGAAGGCGGAGCAGGGAGGTGGACGACGAAGAGGATAATGATGATGATAATGATGATTTTGATGCTGATGTTAATAACGATGGTGATGCTGATGCTGATGATGACGATCATCACCATCATGATCATGATGATGATCAGGATAAAGAACACTATGATGCTGCTGATTATGATGCTGATGATGCTACTGATATGATGGTGATGCTGATGATGGTGGTGGCGGCGGCGGTGGTGGTGGACGTGGTGCTGGTGATGATGATGATGATGGTGGTGATTTCTTTATTGTTGGGTCTATTAATTTCACACACAACTCAGGGGAGACCGCTGTGTGGTTTGATACTCTACGGCACGTGGAGGAACGACTTATTGCATGGAAATCCCAATCAACACGAACATGATTCATGATTCTTGGCGTGGATCTCAACTTCACTATTCCTGCTGGTATTGACGGTATCTCGGGAGATTGTGTGTTGAAGCGAATAGTTTGCCATGCAGATCGTTTGCAAGAAATTGTAAGAGTTCTGTCTGAATTCGAGTTTGAAGCCACAAATACATTAGGGGAGCGACCATCGGAAGAGATCGCACTTGTGACGTGGAGGAACAAACCTTTTACTCAGTATACTCAGATTGATTACATATTCGCTTCTCGGCAGTTGCGGGTATCCGCCCAGGTGGATAGATCTACGGGCCTACGGAGCGACCATTACCCCATTGTCGGCCATGCGGCTCTTCCACGAAACACGTTTTCTTCAGCTCCACGGAGGCTGACCCCGTCGTGGAAAGGATGTAGCTTGGAATCCAAACTGGAGGATTTCAACGACGATGTTTTGAGATTGAGCGGCTTTTGCGGGGGCTTTCCCTTTATGTCTGTGGAGGAATCAGTACGCAGCAGTAGCCTTTCACGCATTGAAGCAGGAGTCAAAACAGCAGTGCACAATTCGAGCTTCTCTACTGCAGCCTCCCGGGCGAAGGACAAGAGACGTCTTCCGGACTACGCACGCAATTTAAAGATGAAGTTGTCGTTCCTGGACGGGGAGGAGAGGAAGGATATGTTTTTGAAGGAAAGGCGGAAGTGGAAGGTTTCGGAGCAAACGCTGAAAATGAAGAGTTCATCTATGAGGAAACGGGTTATCAAAAGTACGGTCTTTCCAATGAGATCCGTCGTCGATGGCATGGGAACAAAAGACCGGGCACTCTGGCAAGCAGGGCTGCACTCTGTCTTGGAGAACCGGTATTATGACCCAGGCGATGGCGAAGATAGATTGGAGAACAAGTTGAATCGGATCCAGAGCGCCGCTCGAGCTTATGAGTTAGACGGGCACCCCAAAGCAGGCATTACGTTCGCAGACGTGCTCCATTCCAGAGCGGCGTTGACTATTGGTTCGGCCGGGAGCAAAGACGGGATCGTTGGAGAGATTTGGAAAAACGTATGTTTCTCAATGATGATTATGATATGGCTGTAGTTTAGATTGTTGTCAGAATGGGGTGTTGGCGAAGTTCCCAGTTCTTGGAAGTTGTGGATGTTGGTGGGAATCCCCAAGATCACCCAGGTCAAAGATTGTGGTAATATTCGATTTATTTGTAAACCGTCTGTTCTACAGAAGTGGTATCTCAAAAGCTTGGTAGTCGTTGCATTGAGGTTCCATACGCCATGCAATGTATGCACGTATGGTTTTCGAGAGGGTCGGAGCCCGCATTTGATTACAGAGCTCTTCCGTCACTTGCTGTTCTTGTCCCGCGAGTGGGGTCCGCCAGTTGTGATCGGATCATTCGACGTGAAAACAGCTTTTGATTCCATGGTTCCCGAATTCGTACTGGATGCAATGGTTGTTCGCGGAGTTCCTGGACACACCGCGGCTGCCATTGTTCGAGTGCTCGTCCGGCTGACCGCTGAGGCTGTTGTTCTTGAGGTCGCGGAGGCATCGGGTATTCCAGTGAATCAGGGAGGTCGGCAAGGCGGAACGGAGACCCCTACTTGTTGGAATTTCCTCTTAGAGTACATTTTGCAAAACTTGGTGCGCCACTGGAACTCCGCAGGGGTAGGGTTCTCGTTCGACGGAGGCCCCAGGATCAACCATGCAATTTGGGCAGGTAACGTTTACTTGGTCGCGGAGTCGGCCGCTCAGCTTGAACAGATGTTTATCGATGTTTCAGCTTGTATTTACAAGTTCGCTTTGCAATGGAAGAATAATGAATTAGACTTCGTGTTTGGTAGCAATCTCTCTTACAATTCCGACCGACAGGTAAGCTTGTTTGACGGCAGCACGTGCGAATTGAAGGTCGCATTTGGATTTGAAGTGTTGGGTGTGCTATTGGACAGGCGGGGCAGCACGAATTGCAGCATGCTTCGTCGATTCGCCAGGGCAGAGGCGGCATACGGATGCGTGGCTTCTGTTTTGAAGGAGCACAGAGGTCCAGTCAAGGAACGTCCAGTCCAGAGCACAGGGGTCCAGTAGTTTCTGCTCTATTTGGGGCTTGTGGCTTCACACTTACGGCGCAAGTGCTGCATGACATGAGGCGTTGGAAGAACAGACATATCAGGATAATAATTCGACTGCGACGGGCCTGGGAGGACGAAAGCATGCACCAGTACCACATCAGGACCAACGGGCTCATACATAGTTTGTTTTCGCGGCATAAGGTTGCACCAATCTACGTGCGAGTTTTGAAATCCATGTTCAAATTGTTGAACACTGTGTGGCATTTCGCCCTGGACGATGGCACCCAGCCGTTGAAGTTCTACATGAACGCGCGCCCATCCGCGGAGTGGAACATCGTGCAGCTCATCGGAGAGCACACGGACAATCGTAATACTTCAGGTTGGCGGCACCAGCACGGAGGAACGAGGACTCATTGGGAGGATCTGCTGGACAAAGCCGACCCGGAGTGGAAGATATAATTAAACGAGGGTTCGCGGTGTTGGCATCAGAGACAGATTTCGCTTTTCCAGGCAATCGGGGATTATGTGGGTTTGAACTTGAAGCCTTTTATCTCGCCTCCGGCGTCTACGCCGACCGCCGCAGGGAACGGGAGGAAACGGAGGACACTGACGGAGCACATCGACACACAACATTGGCATTTTTTCGAGATTTGCCTGGAGAGCTTACGCAATACATGGCAACAGACCTCTGTCTAGGACGAGCCCGCACACTACAGATTGTTACGGATAGTCAGATATTGGCAGATATTCTTGCTGGCGCGGCAAAGCAACAAGAACATACTCGTGGCCTCACGGCGGACATCTCGGCGAACATGGCGGACGCGCTCCTCGCCGCGAATTGGGGGCCAAGAAATGCAACGGGCGATCCAGTTATATGGAGACGGAGGGCTTTCAACTAAGAAGCTGATTATTTAGCGAACTGGGCAATGGACACAGAGGGCGATTTCTGGTATTATAGTGGCATCATACTTACGGCCGACTCAAATCTCAGACTATTGGGGTGGAGCGATGGGGGTTATCACAACGAACAAAATGCATCTGCACACGCTTGGACTCTCAAAGGCCAGCGCGCTGATTCCTCCATTGCAATCGTCGCGGCGTGTGCCAAGTATTATCCAGTGAAGGCCCGGAGCAGTTTAGAAGTCGAATGTTTCGCAATGCGTTTATTTTGGGATTTCGTTCGTGATATCATTGCTGGCAGAGTGCCGGCATGCAGCCCCGAGATGCCCCACGCAACGCGCAAACGACGCAGATGTTTGGCAATCCGCCATTTTCTCGTGTAGTTGATTTTCTACCCTTGGGTATCACCGGCGAGACGTATGGGGTTAAAGCCGCTGCGAAAGAATAGAAAGATGATGATGGTTTTGGTGGTGATGATGGTGATCGTGATTGTGATGGTGGTGATGATGGTGATGTTGGTGGTTTGGGTGGTGCTGGTGGTGATGGCGACGACGACGACGTCGACGACGACTAGGACGAGGAGGAGGAGGACGAAGAGGCGGATGAAGGAGGAGGAGGACGACGAGGGGGACGAGGAAAAAAGAGAAAGGATAACATCGGGAGGAAGGAGGATGAGGGAAGAAGGCGGAGCAGGGAGGAGGAGAGGAGGAGGAGGAGGAGGAGGAGGAGGAGGAGGAGGCGGAGCAGGGAGGAGGAGGCGGAGCAGGGAGGAGGAGGAGGAGGAGGAGGAGGAAAATGATGATGGTGGTGGTGGTAAAGACGACGACGAGGAGGAGGAGGAAAAAGAGGAGGAAAAGGAGGAGGAGGAGCAGGAGGAGGAGGAAAAGGAGGAGGAGGCGCAGAGCGCGCGCCCCAGTCGGGCCTCTCGGCGGCCAGCCGCACGGAGTCTGTCAAGTCGCGCGGCGGGACCAAGGCGCCACCCCCGATGCACATGGGCGGCGCCGAGCCACAGGGGTCTGGGTGTCCAGTGAGGTCTCTCGTCCTTCTCGTCGCCGTTGTCCTCTCCGGCGGCGACGCGTCAGGGCGGGGCCGAGCCAAGGCGTAGTGGGTCTGTAGTGTAAGTCTCTCGTCCTCCTCTGCCCCCCTTCGGACCTGGTCCTCCTTGCTTTCGGGTGATCGTTTTTAGTTTTCTCTCTGCACTTCGTCGCCACGGCTGGGTTCCCCATGAAGTTCTGATCAAAGCCCATACCAGTGCGTGTCTGGAAACCGATTTTTCAAGGGGCCGGAGGATCCTCCTCCTCCTGCTCTTCCTCCTCCCCCCTCCTCTCCCCACCCCTCCTCAGCTGATTGCAGGTTTCCCACGCGGTTTCGCGCCTGACCTTCCCTGTTCGTCTCCAGTGTGTTGCCGCTGGTTCTGCTGCGTGCACGGTTCAGGTGCGCTCGTTCCAAGCGGACGGCGACTCCGAGCGACGGACGTTGGCGTCGGTTCCAGGCGGACATGCGCGGCGATGAGAAATTCCGAGTGGGCATTGTCTTCGACTTCGGAGGTCTGGGGAAGAGCAGCATCAGCAGCAGGCGGAGGAGGAGGAAAAGGCAGACGAGGAGGATGAGAAGGAGGACGCCGAGGCGGAGAAGGAGGAAAAGCACCAGCAGCAGCATCAGAAAAGTTGGAGCAGGGGGATGCCTCCTCTCCCTACTCCATCCTGCCCCCTTCCTCCTCCTGGAGTGTTTTTCGATTTGCAGTTCGATTGCAATTGCACGGATTGCGAAAACCTTCCGGCCAGCGCCGCCGACCCTGACGGCGGGACCTCCCCCATATCCGTTGGCGACCCCCCCCCGCCCGGGACCCACCAGGACTTTTGGGTGACCGTATTCTGACCAGGGACCCTTTCCAAAGGATTTCCCCCCTTTCCAGGCAGGCAGGGACAGGATAAAAGTGGCCCCCCTTCGGCTTAACTACGACGTTCATTGTCCTTGTCCCCCAACTTCCTTGGTACTGACGACGACGACGACGACGACGACGACGACGACGACGACGACGACGACAGCGTCTTCCACACGCCGAAGGGTCGGCGGACATATGGCACACCGCCACCCTTCACCACGGCCACGGGCGGCAATCCCCCGTGGCCAGCGACGCCACCGCCAGCAGCTGCTCGATCGCGCGCAACCCAGACCGCCTTGACCAAGGCCACCCCGCCTGGCGGTCCTGACGGAGAGGGGGACGTGGCTGTCAACGACGCCCCTCCGTAAGGGGACGACGACGACGACGACGACGACGACGACGACGAGGCCTCTCTCGGTGGGTATGCCCGTGGCGCGACCGACGCTATGGACAACCGCTTCCGTCGGCTCGAGAACGGCCTGGGCACCATTCGCAGCCGCACCGACGCCACCGAAGCCACGTGCCAACTCCTGACTGTGGCCCGAACGCCCAGGTCTAGGTCGGGCCTCGCATCCCAGTCGTGCGCGAAAGCGCGCGGCATTTCCGCCCCCACTCGCCCCTTCCTGCCCTTCCGCCCATGACGGCCGCTGCTCGTCCATCCAGCGAGCAGCTTGCGACGGCCCTCGAGTCCCTGACCAATGAGACGAAGGGCATGACGGCCGACGTCGCAGACGCCAAGATGCGCCTCATCGCCGCCGAGGAGCTAGATGTCAAGACCACCGACCTCGAGCTGCCCATGCAGGCCAGCTTCGTGGAGGCCAACGCCGCCCAGAAGGAGATGGCCACCGCCGTTGACCTCCGCTCGCCCAAGCTCGAGCAGGACAAGTTTGAAGCTGAGTTGTTTGTTCCAGGCGGCGAGTCCCAGTCCAACGCGGGCCCTCAGCCGCCATCGCTTGCCGAGCAGATGCAGGAGAATACCAACGGCCTGGAGGAGACCCTCAGCGAGCTCCCCCGCCCGCCATCGGTTGCCAGGTCCACGGGTGCGCCTTCAGCCAAATCCAAGGGGGCCACGACTGCCGCATCTGCCGGCTCGTCCGAGGCCCCCGCCACCGATCTCTCTCGCGACGACGTCGATGAGAAGCTCCGCTGGATCAGTGGTTTTCCTCGCCTAGCTACCGAACCCCATCGCCGCGCCGTCTTTGACCAGCTGAAAGAGAGGATCCCGACTCACTTGGGCGCGGTCATCATTGGCCACGTCCACAGAGCGTCGCAGGCCTTCTCCGTCACCTTCGACAGCGACGACCATGCCAGGGAGCTGCACGCCTGGTTGTTCGCCAACCCTTTGGACGCCCGAAATGGGCACGGAAGGAACGGGCACAATGCCCAACAGCAAATGTTGTCCCAAACCAACAGCGGCCGCTGTTGGGCAGGCGACCTCCTGTCTCAAATTGACACAGGCCGCGGCGACACCGACAGCGAGTCTTGTTCAGAATGAACAGGAACTGCTGTTGGGCATTGTACCCATTCTTTCCGCACCCACTTCGAGCGTCCAAAAAACTTGTCAATTGACCAGACTATCGCAACCTATCTGCCCACGCTGCACGCTGTTGACGCGACATGCCGCTCACAGCCCGCCGGATGAACTGAGTGCCCAGCACGCCGTGGCCCCGCGCGCGCAAGCACCTGGAAGACGCGGGGCCCAGACATCAAGCTCGGCGCCGACCTGTTCAAGGGGGCATCCAGCATCGCAGCGACTCAGGACCGCCGGGGACTTTAAGCTCTGCGATGCGCCACAGGGCCTGCGCGAGGCGAAGCCGATCCAGTCGCAGCTCGACGAGTGGAAAAGACCACGCCCGCCGTCGCCAATTGGACGATCGAGGCTGCCCAGAGCGCGCCTGAGGCCGCCGCTCTCTGAAAGGCCGCCCGCCAAGCATCGCGCGGCGAGAGCCGTTCTTTTCAGTATTATGCCGCCTCTCTGCCACCAGATTTTGCCGCGGCTCTTTTAGGCCCACCCCCCCTGTTTTCAATCGTCTAGCCACGTGCCGGGGTTGCCCCAAGACAGGCGCCGAAGGACGACGCAGCTCCCGAAGGGGCAGCTTTTTCCAAAATCAATCGTCTAGCCTCAGCGCTACTTCCCACGAAGACCAGCCGCCTTCACCGCGAGGCCCTAGCGGGCCCCAGCTGTCTTTCCCCGCCCCCCTCTCTTGCGGCCGTGGTTCGGAAGCGTCGATTCGGAATTGTCGTACTTTGTTCGATGCCGTTTCTGGCGGCCACGACATTCAAAGGCAGACTCGGGGTCGCCCCCCGCAACTGATCAGAATGAACCATACCTGATGTCTTCAAGAGAACCACGGCCACGAACGTGAAAGCGAATCGCTGCGCACTGAGTTCCGCCCTTCGAAGCACGGTGTTCTTTCTGATATGAGGTGAATGTTAATGGAGTAGCTATCGCGATAGCGAGGTCTCCGATGGCCGAGCTCACTGCCGAACCGCCGCGCCCCCTCATTCCTGGCCGCCTTCTCGCGCCCACGTCGAAGTCCAACGCGTTCCAGCTCACCACCCCCAGCCTGCATCTCGACCCTTCCCTCCGCCAGCGCGAAAAAATCACGCGCTGGGCCAGCGCGCCGACTTCCTGGAGGCGCCCCAGCGGATCTCTGCCGCCGTCGGGCCGCCGTCGGGGACTTCAACTACTGCGAGCTGGTAGAGGGGGCCCAAAGGGTCGACCGGACCATCCATCAAAACTCGGCCGACGTTTTGGCTTCTGGGCCCTGGGCGCCCCATGCCTGAGATCGCGGAGCGCGCTCAGGAGACCCCGAGAAACCGCGCCACCAGGAGCGGACAGACGATCGGCGTTTCCAGGCTCGCAAGGCATACGCCCATATGTTCACAAGTGATATATTGGACTGCAGCCGAGGCCTGGGACATAAGCAAGCCCGATTGGCCTAGCGATCATGTCCCTGCTTACCAACATCTGAATGGAGGGGGATTCCGAGGTCTCCCAGGTGCCCCCACCTGGGTCTCCAAGCACCCTTTGCACCCCCCTGCACTCGACAGGCCCACTGGGGAACACGGCGTGCAGCACGCCCAATATCCTGATGATGACCCAAGAGCTCACCTGTCTGATGCACGAGGCAGTCAGGCTCGCCCAGCAGAGGTCGTCCGAGTTGCCGCCGGACGTCCCCGAGCAGCTCTTGCAGTGGCTCTTTGCTGTCAATCGTGCTATGCGCTCGCGTACCGTTCGCATTTTAAAGAAGGCTGCCAGGGCCACCCCTCGGTTATCGGATTTTCTCGATCCCGATGTTTGCCGGCGGCATGATCAGCAAGCTTCCCACGCATACATGGCACAGATTGCCGCGGCGCGATATCAATCCGAGCACGACGCAATTACAGGGCACGCTGAGGCACCCCCGCAACATCTCGATCACAGAGCAGCGCGCCGACAACGCGCGGTTCCGCCCGGCCCCCAAAAACCGAAGACAGGGCTGGACTTAAACTATGCGCTTGGTGATTCCGTGGGCCGTTTTCGTTTCGAGTTCGTTTTGCGGTAAAGGAGGTTCCAGGACAAAGGCGAGGGGAAACGAAAACGAAAAAAAAACACCGTCTAGGTTCAGCCCTGACCGAAGTGACTTTCACAGATGAAGAGGGGAATGCTATACCTCAGAGCGTGAATTACCTACCCCGCTTTCGCTTCCAGGCAAAACCAAGTCATACCACGCGCCTCCTCGTCAAGCGGCCTGACCAGCATAGGCTGCAATTTGGCGTCGCTTGGTTTCTCTTGGAAGCGGGGGTGGTCAAAAGCGAGGTAGGTTTGTTTGCGCCCCAATACCTTCTGCCGCCGCTGGAGCACGTGCTCTCGCTGCCCACTCGGGGCGCTGCCCACGCCGCCGCCCCCCGTCAGCCTGCTGCGCGCGATTAGCTCACGAAGCGCATCTTGCATGCGCCTGCACGACGTGACTGGGAATTTCGGAGGGAACGCTTTACCAAATCCTGGGCAATCTCCGAGACCCCGCTGCGGGCCCCGATGGGCTTTCTTATTCCGCCTGGTCCAAGGGGGGCAGTTTTGTCAGGTGGGCCAGTTTTCGGGGGCACAGGCGCCCCATGCATGTCGGCCAGGCCCCCGAAGGCTTCAATACTAACAACTCCGCATTTATTCCCAAGGGCTCGACGGATCGCCACGGGCCCAAACTTTGGAGGGCTCCCGAGTCCACCAGGCCCACTGCCCTAGCTAACGCCATAAGTAAGATCATCGCTGTCGCGATTAGCTACAGCCTGAAGACGCTCTGCATGGAAGACGCCCTGCATGAAAAAATATATGGACACACCACCCTGGGGATGCAGAGGGGTTTCGTCAAATCGAGTTCGAGACTCACGCGGTCGTCGGAGCTGGGGCCCAGTGGAGGGACACGGCTGGCGCGTGGATATTTCACGTTTTGAATTAGACGCAGCTGCCCAATTTCGTGGTGCAGGCCGTTAAGACTCTCTACAGTAACGTTGGGGCCACTATCATCCTTGGAGCAAGCTCACCGTTCGTTCGCTATCTCGAAGGGAAAATACAGGGGTGCCCACTATCAGGTTCAGTGTTCGCCCTGGGGTGGGTCCTATCTTGCGTGTCCTGCGCACGAGGCTGCCGAGGCCTGTCCATCTGCACTGCGCAGTCGCGGATGATGTAATCTCAGCCAGCTTTGACATCAACACGACGTTGCCCGTCTTCATGCGCGCGTGCCTTGTTTGCCGCGCCCGCTGCTGGTATGTGCCTGAATTTGAAGAAAAACACGATCTTGTCTTCTCGCATTTCCGATCGAGAAGCCGATCTCCAGAGATTTCGTGAAGCCTCATCAATGTCTCGCAGTTCGGGATGGCTTCATGTGCTCGTTATCACGGGCCCCCGTGCGGCATCAGTTCGAAGGGAGAAATTTGGGCCGGCCCCGTTTTGAAGTTCCGCGAGCGGTGCCGTTTCATCAAGTCGCTTAAGCTGGATCTCGCGCTGTCGGTGAAAGCGTTGAACCAGATCACAGCATCGGCGCTGCTTTTCGCTGCCCCATTCTTTCCACCCGCAGCCGGCGTACATTGGCAAGTGCATCCTGGAGGTGCATGCTGGATTACAGAGTCTGACCTGTGCTCCTGCGCTTGCTATCCTTGCTGACATGCTGCGCATTTTGGCAGCGCTTGGGAAGATGCGCGCATCTGCCCTTTCTGCGAAGCACGCGGCCCGGAGCGGCTGCGCACCGCGCCTCGCTCACATCATCCGTCTTTTTTGCCTGCGTTGAGAGACTTGCGGGCGCCCTCGATGATGGCGAGGCCCACGTCGACGCAAGCGTTCACTTCGTTTACCGCAAGTCGTCTGTGATCACGATGCACAAGAATTATCTAAAGTGGTCAGGGGCCCCTGAAGCCCCCAGCACATTTGAACCTGGTCCGCAGAAAACCATGGCCAACATCGCGCTGACCAAGTTTCCTTTTAAGAGTTCCCAGGGCCTCCTGTTCGCTCGGTTTCAGCATCGGCAAAAACGGCCCCCGATGAGCCCCAAGATATTTCGCCGTCCTGGGGCCCGTTATGCTTCGAGCGGCTGAGGGTTGTCGGTCAAAACGTTGCCCAGTTCACCCGGTTGAGTTCGCAACCTCTCGGGGATGTCGCCGGCCCCCCTGGGGCGCCGGCGCGGGTGTCAGCGCGGGGGGGGAGATCAGCTTCGTCATTATCTTCAATGCCCTGTTCTTCTAGAAGTGATGCGTTCCCACCTGCCTCGTCTCTCTGCCTGGCGGGGGGCGGGGGCGCTTGCTGGCGCCCTGCTGCGCCCCCAGTCTCTTGGGAACGATGAGCTGTGCAGCATGGGCATTGCGCGCGATATATTATCAAACGCGCTTAATAAGCTACGCTCTGCAGGGGGTCAGAGCGCCGCCCGCGCCCGTCAGCTAGCCGAGGGAAGGCCCAGGCTGATCTTCCGACGGGGAGCCAGGGCAAGGACGTCGGCGCGGTAGCAGCCAGGCGAGCATGGAAAATTTGACCGCCCAGGCGGGGTCCCGCCTCCCCCCTCGCATCGGGTGGGTGAGTTCACCGCGGGAGATTCTGGCAATGCGAGGGCAAGGCCAGCAACTGTGGGATTATCACATCTTGTCGCCCGCCCCCCGCCCGCCCCCCCCCCCCTTCCTCCTTGCCGAAGCCATATGGGTTCAAGCGAGGGCCGCGCGCTTCCCCCCTCCCACCCCGCGCCCTCCCTCTCCTATTTGGGCGGGCGGCAGACCGCTACGCGGCTGAACCCGCGGGGCGCCGCTGGGAAATGCCCTCCCGCCCCCTCCCCTCGCATCGTTCGATTTCCCCGCGGGAGAAGCATTCAGACGAGCGCTTGCGCGCGCCCTCAAGCGATTGGCCCACGTTTGGCGCGTCGACTGCTTCGCCGCACGGTGACTGACCTGCCTTTGCCGCCGGCACTTCAGGTGCGCATTGGAATACTTACCAAGAACAAAAGTCGCAGGAGGGTGGCGGTGTCGGGCCAATGGGGGACCATGGTCATTCAAGGCCAGGAAATGTCGGATCTCAGGCTCCAAGGGCAGATATCCGAGGACGAAACCTTGATGGCACACGCCTCTGGGGTCGGCGGACATTCCGAACGCATTGTGACGCGCATGTCGATTTGGATTTCGTTTTTTGCACGGCGGGCGCAGCCACGGCGAAGACCCGCAGCCTGCTCCTGTTGATGCCGTTTTTCGTCCCCTCCCGTTTTGTGCCCACAGGTGTCCGGAGGCTCGTTGATCGAGAGCACCCGGATGGCTTCCCAGAACATCCCAAACTCTCCAGAGGCGGCCAGAGGCCGTCATCCTCGTCCTAGTCCTCCTCCGTTTCTTCTCCCTCCTCCTAATCCTTCTCGTCGGCACAATTTCGCTGTGTCGTTGTTACTGGGACGGGTGGTATACAGCAAACGTGAATGGTGATGGATGCGAAGTAGCCCTGAAAGCCCAAAGCCCATCCCATTTCTCAGCGGCTACGCCTTGCAATCAGTGCAATGCTTTCCGTCCTCAATCTGCTTGTCCAGTGCAGTCCACCGATTTGAGTAAAGGCGCGATCCGTACCCGAACCCCCATCCACTGATTCCCATTCCCCCTTTTTCCCCGTCCTGCCCAGTCGCGTTCTCGCTCCTTCCACTTTGCCTCCTCGCCCTTTCCCCCCCCCTGCCTTTTCACCCGCCGACGACGATGACGGCGACATCACGGACTTCCACGATTGCGACAACGACGACGGACGCCAAAAACAACGATTGCGACAGCGACGACGGACACCGACGACGACGACGATGACGAAAGACGATTAAGGACGCCGACGCCCCGACGCCCCGACGCCCCGACGCCGCCGCCGCCGCCGACGACGACGACGACGACGGCGGCACCGTTTTCTTGCGGGGGGGTGGGCGCGGCGGGTGGCGCGGCCGCAACGCAGCCAGGTGCGCACCTACCCCCTCCCGCAGGTACCGCACGCGGGGGTGGAGGCGCCCCCCGCCCGCGGTTGACGTCGTCGGCGGCGGCGGCGGCGGAAGTGGCGTAGGCGGCGGCGGCTGGAGCGGGAGCGGAAGGTGGCGCAGTGGGAAGAGCAGGAGGAGGAGGCAGAGGGGTGCTGCGGTGGAGGGGGCGGAGGAGGTGGTGGTCGAGGGGGAAGGGGCAGTGGAGCAGGGAGAAGGCAGGGCGGTGAATACGGGGGAAGCAGAGGTTGAGGATGATGTGAAGGCGGACGGGGTAGAATGAGCACGGGAGGAGGAGGAGGAGGAGGAGGAGGATGAGGAGGTTGTGTAAAGCAGGGGGTGTCGAAGATGTAGAGGAGGGGGTTGGCGGGGATAGAGGTGGAAGAGGAAAGAGGGGATGACGGGGTCCGAGGAGGAGGAGGAGGAGGAGGAGGAGGAAAAGGAGGAGGAGGAGAAGGAGGGGGAGGGGGAGGAGGAGGAAGGGGACGTGGACGAATGGAAGTGGGGGGAGATGCAGCAGTGGGTGAGGGGCGAAGGGGATGACGGAGAGGCCGCCCGCGACAAGAAAGCTTCGACCGAACTCGAATGCAAACCAGAGAGGAGACGAGGGGGAGCGGCTACGCGGGAAGGAGGAGGTCAGCCTCGTCCTCGAGGCCTTCTCTAGCGCGCCGCTCCCCCCTCTCCTGGCCCAGGGCCTGCGCCTCGGCCACGGTGAGGCCGTACAGTGCGAAACCGAAGTGCTTGTCCGCCGCTGGCCCCTCGCGGGTCTGGCCAGCGGGGAGGCGCACGCCTGGCTCGGGGGGACCAGGGAGACCTTGCGACTTGGCAGCACGAAAGAGGCCCCACCTAGTCCTGACCTCGAGGGAGGGTGCCCCCAAAAATGCCACCGTGAGCCCGCTGTGGTTCCGATTGGCAGGATAACGACCAGCACGAAACTCTCGAGGCAGAACGCACAGCCCCCAGAGGCCGCCGGCCTGCACATCCAACGGAGTTTCCCACGTTTCGTGCTGAAGTGTGTTATCGCCCCTCAAGCCGTGCAACAGAGCATCGAACCGTGAAACGTGCTCCCATCCGACTCGTAAGCATCACCCTGCTCCAAAGAGTGCCCCAGCTGCTGCCACGCTCCGAGGGCAAGAGGAGGAGGAGAAGGAGGAGGAGGAGGCGACGACGAGGGGTTCGGTGGCACAGCAGCGGGAGCCTAGCCACTCTTGACCGAGGTGATCCTGAGCAGCCAAAACCCTGCACATCAGCCGCTGAGCCGCACAGGGCTTACCCAGGCGAGAGGCGAACTCACAGCGGCCTTGGATCAACAGTTGGTCGCATCTGCCCAGACGGAAGGGCTCTCACCCCATTTTGGCCGAACGATCAGCCTCCGAATTCCCGAAACGCTGCAACTCTGAAATCTTGCCCTCTCTCTCACGTCCGCCTCGGACGTGTCAGAGGGTATCTTCAAAACCGGAACTCCCTCCAGACGTTCCCCGATTTCGGCCCACCAATGGGCCCTGGCCTCGTGCCAGTTGCTCCAGCGCTGTTTCTGAGGCAGCCGACCTTGACCCTTGCCCCAGGGCCGCACGTCTGGAGAGCATGAACACCGAAAAGTCCTCGCCGTCCCTGGCCAGCTATTCTGTGCCTTCGGCGAGGGCCATCGTCCTTCCATCTTTTTCTAAGACGGCCACCGCCCAGCCTGCCGTCCTTAAGTCCTGACAGCGCTCCCTCAAATCCCGACTCATCCGTGAAAGTGCGCGCCCCTTCAGGAACAAAGAGGGGACCGATTTGTGGTCACTGGAAGTGCCTGGTGCACAGATCCGCGTGGTCCCAGAAGAATGGAGGGGGAGGAGTGGCAGGAGGGGGTTGGCGTGGAGAAGGAGATATCTGCTGCCACTGCGCCAGTGCAGGTCCACACGTTCCCCTTCGAGCCGCAGAGACCCAGCTGAGCTCGTCGGGGCCACCGCCCCACCGGCGCTTCCCTGCCCCGCTGTGGCGAATACGAGGTAAACGGCGGCAACTGTTTTTCCCATACGGTAGATTAGTGTTGTCTCGGCGCCGCCGCAGCGCGAGCGGGCGGTTGCGATTGAAGACCTCCGGCAGCCTTCCAGGACTCCTGAGAGCGGAGATCGTTCAAGACTGAACGGTGCACGCGGCGACAGAAGCCAACGCCCACGCCGTCGTGGAGGATCGTGCCGTCCTCAGCCACTGCCACTGTGCCTCCCGCGCGTCCCCACCCCGCGGCTCTTGCCCCGACTCCAGCACCACCAGAGACAGGACAGAATGCAACGTTGTGAGTGGTCCCGCGCCTGGGTGCCCCAGTGGGGCTGTTGGCCTCTCTAAGCGCAATGATTCCAGCCCTTCCGCCGGCAAGATCCTTTGCATGGTCTCCGAGCCTGCACTCCCCGCCTTCTCTCACCCACATGCCGCCCGCCTCTGGACTTTCTGACAAAGTCCCGAGACCTACCCCAAACATTTGTTTTCTGGTCTTGGTTTGCAGTATTGTGTAGCATCCCGCTAGCATGGAATTGTGCATGAAGGGAATCGACCAATCAGGACACCATCAGGTTCTTTTTTTCTGAGTACGGTCCCATTCCCCAAAAACGTTTAGCATTAGTTGTTGGGTTGATGCCCAGCGAAGTCGTATTCTGACAGCGTGCCCGTAGTATTATCGATAATTTCATAGCGTCTTCGTTGTGGGCCTCATCAGCTCTGCATGCTTTCGTCGATTGCATTGCACCACGGTGGTGCGTTTGGGACAGACTATGGCCTTGTGGGCGAGCTGGCAAACTCATCATTACTACGGCAATAGTTTCCGAAGTCCCACCCACTTCATTTTGATAGATGTGTTGATATGATCTTTCATTGCTAAACGGCTAAACACAGTCCAGATCCATGTTAGTTCAAGCAGTTTTAGCTCAAGGTACCCTATCGTCTCTGGCCAGGGTGGGCTTATTGGTGGACTGCGCGGCGCTCTAGCTATGGCCGCCTTCGGAGTGCCTCGTCAGCATGACCACTGGGAAGGAAACGGCCCGCGAGCGCCAAAAATCAGAGCTACGCGTGCCAGACCGCCGCGAGGTAGTCATGGCTGGCGCTATTGTCCGCTTTGTCCGCTTGGCTCGGCACCATGGTGATTAGTTTCCTCAGCACGTGCACGGCGCACTACTTCGAGCAGCTCGTGAATTAGTCCACGATGTTATTGAACAGCCACATGGAGGCATTATGGCAGTTGGAAAAGACCATGACGGACCCCCCCGTGGAGGTGAAGGGCATGATCGCTTCGGCGGTGTTTTTTCAAGGGTGGTTACGGTGGGTCGGACGTCAAGACGCCCCACCATCAGAGAACGGCCACGAGCGCGATACGATGTTGAACGAGAACAGGGCGGAGTCGACAGACCCAGGCTCGCATGTTTGGACAAATACAGCCGCCGGAATCACCAGCGTAGAATGATCGACCGCGTGGGCGCGGAGTTTGTTGACATCTTCGACGCCGTCTCGGAGGGTATCCAACATGCGGAAGTGGCCGCGCAGACAGCCTGGGAGCGAGCGTGGCATCTATCTGTTCAGCGACTTGGTCGAGCAGGCCGCGTTCGCGGCGCTGCGTCACTTGCGCTGCGCGAGAGATGATTGCGCGATCGGTCACTGGGGACTCATATATGACTAAAGGGGTTAGTGGTCTGCGGTGTTTGTGCAAACGACGTCTTGGGTCATGTTCCGCATTCGTGACCTGCTCGGTTCGACGACACCGCCAAGGAGGCCGTGCAGTTTTTCGCCGTTGCGCGCAGGGTGAAAAAGATCGAGTTAGGGATCGTGACTAGTGAGTTTGTTGGTCTCTGATGATTCAGACGACACGTATGTGTTCATTGGCCTCTTGTTCCCATCGCCGCCCACGGATGCGTAGTCCCGAACTTGCCGGCTCCATGGCCAGCGAAGTGTCGCGCCGCTCGAAGTTGCGTACATTGGATAATGTTGCTGTGGGTTGCGCAGGGAGTCAGCTTATGAAGGGATTTTAGAATGCCTTTCGCGCAAGTTGTGGAACGGCTTGCGATAGTAAGTAGCGGACTCTAGACAGACAGGTATTTGCATGTTTGTTCAGATTGATTCCGCCGTGACTTTTCTGGCGCTGTTTCATTGCGAGTCGTGTGCGTCATGCGTTTGTTCATGCACCCCTCTGGACTTTCATGTGCCTCGTCTGCTTGCGGGGGGTACTGTCCCAGCAAAAATCATTGCGCATGATTGAGAAAAAGTATGTAATGTCATCGATCGATGGACGCGCGGGTCTATAATTCGCAATACCGTAGCCTTGGTTGTTTGGATGCGCAAGCGGACTGCCTTTGCTGCGCTGCGACAGAAACTATCTGTGTTGAGCCCGTTCAAGTATGTATTATACCTATGCGTCCGCACGCGCTTCAATGCGACATGTGATCCAGAAAGCAGTGCGCATCCCCGGGGCGGCAACGTAAATATTGCCCGCGGCGTCATGGTCTCGGCCCTGTGCGGCAAGTCGCTCGTGGGTCACTCCCCGGGCTTTGCCGTCTTTGGTTTGATCAGGGCCGGGAGGAATGACGTTGGCATTGCATGGGCAATAGTCTTGCGCACGGGCAGCCAGGCATGAATGCATTAATGTGCATGCGTGTATGCGGGGGCTGCGCGGCATGCGATTTGTTGTGTGGCGTTTGCGGTGTCATTGCTTGGGCATGCCGTCCCAACGACCTGCATTGGGCGTTTGGCGCGCGTCGCGGTCCTTGACAAATTACATTGAACACGTCGCAGCAACGGTTTCAGGAGCGCGTGCCCGCATTAGTTTCGGTAAGTGTTTGATGATTGTGTTCCAATACTAAGTGCGGACCATGCCAATGATAGAAGCCGCGTTTCAGTGACGCCTGCATGCCGTTACCATTGGGACCCCGCTTCAGGAGGGGACGGAGAATACGATGATGAGGAGGAACAGTTGCAAAGGGGACGAGAGCGAAGATAATTAGGAGGAAAACGATGACGAGTAGCACGGACAAGGCGAAATAATTCACACGAGTCTCCCAAAAGGCAACAGTCAGTGGAGATTGTCGCGCTCTCGCTTGCTCTGGCACTTAAGACGTGTAGGCGTCGAGGCTACATGTTCGATATTTGTCTGCCTATCTGCTGCCGTAGGCGGGTCCGCTTGCTTGCACGCAGTACCGTTCAATGCTACGCAACGCAAAGCATTGCCGCGCCCGTCCCTTCCAAGACTGGCCCAAGACGGTCCAAGCGGTGTCCAAGAGGGCCCAGGAATTCTTAGAGGCAACAGACGCGGAGGAAATGGCAAAGGACGCAACGCCGCTTATCGTGGTTTTTGTGGAGGGGTCGGCAGAATGGCGCACCCGTGCTGCATAATATCACGAATGGCGGGGTTGGGATCTTGGGATTCGTAAAAAGATTCCAGCGACGAATTGGGCCAAATAAGTCTACGCGATTCGTTTCTTAATGGAGAGCGTCGGACACGAAAAACAATATTTAGAGGTTCCGCGCAGCCCCACCAGCCCATCCAGAAATGATGCCGTGCCTTGATCAAGTGTGGAGTCGAATGCAGTGGATTCAAGGGTTGGGTGTTTAAGACGTTGTACCCTAAGAGAGGGAGGATAGAAGAGGAACGCAAAGGAAGAGGAGGAGAAGGAAAACGCAGACACGAACAAAGAAGAGGATATCATTGTTTCGATACGGAAACCGTTGTTTGGATACCGAATCCATTTCCCCGTGTCAGCCAAAGGTCCGTAACCGTGCGCGCCGGGTCCATCGATAATGCATGCCATTTCCAATCGCCGTCGCATTGCGCACGCAAAACAACAATCCCCAAGGTTGCATATATCTGATATCCGACATACCAACAAACATTCAAAATCAAACCTCCCCATAATTCTTCACACTTCGTGTGTTCCCACCAACTCATTAAGAAACGATCCCATGAGAGTTGACGGAGGGAGAAAGGAAGAGACATACACAATCAAACATCGAGGAAGGGAGTTTGGAGCGGTCTCGGGGCCGAGCCATCTCGAGCCAGTTTGGGTTAGCCGAGCCATCTCGGCAGCTATCTTACATAGGTTTTTTGATGCCGCTCGGGGGCCTCTTCGGTGCGTTCGGATACCACTTGGAGGCCTCTTGGGGCGTTCTTGGAGCTTTTGGGGGGCCGTGGAGCGCCCTTTTGAGGCAGTTTTGGAAGCGATCGGTCAAAAGAGGAAGCGGTCGGTCAAAACAGGAAGGGTATTCGATTTCTTTCCGCCTTCGGGGGCCACGATCATCCTGAGAGGTGTGAAACATTGTCTCTCCCAGAGACCGAAAAGGGACCATCTGAGAGATCTGTCCCCCCCAAAAAAAACTTAAGCACGGAAGAGGGAATGCTTCTTCCCGAAACGAACAGAGTTGACCGATAATCCAACGCTCCATTGATTCTGGTTTTGCACGCCTTGTGCGTTCATTATCCACGTGCGTCAGAAGCCATAGCACATACGTTTGTAGAAGGTTTCGGCTTATGTTGGGAAAAGGGTCGGACATACAAACACTACGGCATGCAACGTGATACGGAATTACGTTATAAATTCGGATGTGCGCAATACGATTATATTATATTTTTACCAGAAGGTCAAACAAGCGCATTTCGACGATTACACGTTCTACCACGCTTTATTTCCGTTCTCTTCCGTTGGGTTTCTGTGCATGTTGTGACGTACATGACGTAGCACATATCATTACATTTTTTGAAGCAAGAACACGTAGTGGGGAGGCACTACATTTTGAGCCAAAACCATCGCGGATCGACAAAGCGCTTAATGTTTTGAGCCTCGGGTCGGCGAGAATGATTCCTGAATAATATTTGCGACAACCTTTGGACATACCACAAATTACGATATTTCCCGGTGTGCTTCCTGCTCCCCCTCACGTTATTCCTTACATGTTCGTCCGCCCTATAATGATGCTTACCTCCGCTCCCCTTTCTCGTTCGCCAGACATGCCTGCCCCGCAATCTTTGGGTACCACTCGAAATATGAAGAGTTTCCGTGACCAAGCGTTTTCGAGGAGGAACGTCTAGGCTGAACCAAGTCGCAAAGCCGACCCGCCAGGACGTTGACGTATATTGATTGGGCCCGGCTCGTCGGAATATTTGGGCCGGACAATCGGATCCGATTCACAAGACGCACATTGCGACACATGGGTTGCGCAAACGAAATTACAGTTACACGATTGTTATTTCCCAAGCATCTTGTGGTGCTAGGTAATCGTTTTGAAGAGACCGTCCCGCGTCCCTCCCTCCTTCCTCCCCCTCCTCCTCCTCCTCCTCCTCCCTCCCTGGCATTTCAGTGTAGCGTTTCGTGGCCCCATCGGGACCTCCACCGAAGCCCCTAGTGGGACCGTCCGCGTGCGGTTCGGAGACTCAATGTACAGTATTTCGTTGCAACCGAAGC